AGCCACCAAAAAGATGGCAAAGAAGGTGAAGGAAGAGCCCCCAGTTGAGACCACAGAGAATAATGATGACAGCTGGCTAAACTGGGGCAAGAAGGGCAAGAAGGGCAAGACTTCTACTGCTCTAGTTGAACTGGAAAAAGGGCCTGAACCCGAACAGCCACCGCCACCTGCCGTTCCTGATGCCCCTGACGCTGGAGGTGCCGACGACTTCTGGGACACTTTTGGCGTTGGGAAGACTAAGAAAAATAACACTAGCGACACACTTATTCCCGATTCGATCGAGGAGCCTAAGTCTGATGACGTTTGGGGTCTGAGCAGTTCAAAGAAGAAAAAGAAGAACAGCAAGAATGTGCCTGTTGAGCTCGAAAATGGCTCTCAACTCAACGGGGTCCAACCTGACTCCGTTGAAGAGAGTAAGGATAGCAAGTTCGACGATGATGACTGGGGTTGGAGCTCTTCCAAGAAGGGCAAGAAAAAGAAGTCTCCGCCTCCAGCGCCCACCCCACCTTCTTTAGATATGAGCGTGTCTAATCAGGAGCTGGAAGAAAACGTGTGGGATGAGCCAATATCTCAGGAAGACGACAAGGCGGCTGCAGAAGCCGAGTTACAGGCCCAAATCGCAGCCGAAGAGGAAGAGCGCGCCACTCTTGAAGCGAAGAAAAAGACTCAGAAGAAGAAGTTCTCTGGCAAGGATCGGAAACGCCTTGACGAGCTCACTGATAATGCCGAACGTCGCGCCGAGGAGAAGGCTGCTAAGGAAGCTGAAGAGAAGGCTGCACAAGAAGCTGAAGAAAAAGCCGCAGCCGAGGCATTGGAAGCCGAAGAAAGAGCTGCTGCCGAAGCCCGAGAGATTGAAGAGAAAGCCGCCGCTGAAGCACTGGCAGCCGAGATCGCTGAGGAGGAGGCAGAGCTCGCTAAACTCACGAACAGGAGCAAGAAGAAAAAGCTGTCCGCAAAGCTTCAAGCAAGATTCGATGAACTTACCGAGAGAGCCAATGCACGTGCTGCAGAGACAGATACTCAAGACGCCGAAGCGCAGGCCGCACTCGAAGCTGAGGAACAGGCTGCACGAGAGGCTGAGGAGCAAGCTGCACGAGAGGCTGAGGAGCAAGCTGCAAGAGAGGCTGAAGAACAAGCTCGGCGAGAAGCTGAAGAGCAGGCTCTCCGGGAGACTGAAGAACAGGCTGCCCGGGAGGCTCAGGAAGAAGCCGCCCGAGAAGCTGAAAGAGCTGTTCGTGAGGCTGAGGCGCGTGAACGTGAAGAGGCCGAAGCCGCTGCAGCCAAAAAGAAGAAGTCCAAGAAGAGCTCCAAATCCGACGATAAGAAGTCTAAGTCCGGTGGCAGCAAAGATAAGTCATCTTCCAAGAAAGAAGATAAGGAGGATAAAGATAAGAAGGAGGACAGAGTTGAGGAGGATGTCGAGGATGATCTCGCCAATCTATCTCCTGAACAAGTGGAAGCGATCTTATCTGGCTTCCCGTCTCTAAAGGCGCCTACTCCCAAGACGCAAACTCCTAAGACACAAACTCCCAAGGCGCAAACTCCCATGGCGCAATCGGTCCCTGACCCATTCTCCTTTTGGGGTGCCAAGCCGAGGAGTTCAGTGCCCGAACAGGTAAGCAGTTCTAGGCAGTCGATAACAACCGAGATTAGATTTGCTGAGTCATCACAGAGTTTTGAGGATGCCGCGGCCGAGGAAACGCCATCTTCCAGAAACTTCACGGATGACTGGATGAAGCCGAAGAAGGCTAAGGGAAGCAAGCTTTCAGGCAAGCTTAAGAAATTTGAGGCGTCGAAGGAAGAGGAGGATGCTGACTTGATTGACCCTCTGCCAACGCCACCGCCACCGCCGCCCGGACCTGTTGTGCGACCATCGAAGGAAGGTAAAAAGTCTAGGAAAGACAAAGATCCTCTTCCGGGAAGCTTCCCAGGTGACGAAGACGAGGACGAAATCATCGAAATTGTTGACATGACCTCGCCGGTAGAAAAGAAGAAGAAGAAGAGTAGCAAGAAGAGCAAAGCCAAGGACGAGCCATCTTGCCCTCCGCCGCCCGAAGCACCCGAACCACCTCCAGCTTTTCACGACTCACCCCCCACGCCACCTCCCGAGTTGAAGTCCGCGAAGAGAGAGCGACCAAAGATCAGTCGCGACGGAAGTGCATCATGGGGAACGTGGTCAGCTTCACCACGCAAAGATGAGAAGAAATCCAAGTCTCGGTCTGAAGAGAAACAGTCGAGAAAGGAGAAAGAGGAGAAGTCATCCTCCAAAGGCTCAGCTTCAGACAAGGCAGAGCGAGTTGAGAAGAAAGTCGCGTCAACTCCGAAGCCGCGCGTGAGTAGCTTGTTCCAGAGCACACCCCCTGTATCGCGCCCCCCTCTGTCGCGCTCGATGTCAACCCGGGATAAGCGACAAAGCTCGAGCAAATCTGGTTCGCGTCGTCGATCAGTTGACATTACTACTGGCTTTGTATCGCCACCACCCGAGGAAGTGCCCGAGATGTCCGCCAAGGCTGCCAAGTTCCTAGGTGTCGACAAAAGCCGCAGTCGCAGGAGCTCGAAAGTTCGCGCAGCCGAAGATGAAATCATCATGGTTGATGATGCCGACATAACGCCAGGTCCTGAAAAGTCGGCTCGCAAGCGGTCAAAGGTAAGAAGACACGCAACTAGACACAGTCTCACAGCACTAACTAAAAAGCAGGTCAAGGCGGAAGAGGACATCGTCATAGTTGATGCGGATAGTCCTACCGACGCGACACCTCTGAGAAGATCGAACACGAACGGCAAAAAGGGGCTTGCCGGGCTTTTCGGAGGGCTTATGTCCTCGACCCCGCGCTCCGACTTACGCCCCGAAGCCCGTCGACGAAACACATATTATACCACGGACGATGAAGGTAGACCTGATAAAAGGGCGAAGCGGTCTTCGCGGGATAGAGGCCATATTGATGCACATGGCATAGATGAGGAAAGGGAAGCGCGCCGCGCCGCTCGCCATGCCAGGAGGGCCGAAGAGAAGGCTGCCGAAGAAGCCCATCGTGCTAGAGAGGAAGCTAGACGTGAAAGGCGCAGGAGGCGTGAAGAGGAGGAAGCTGAAGCTCGTAGGCAAGAAGAACGGGAGGCTCGGCGAGCCGAACGTAGGGCTGCGCGAGAACGCGAGGCCGAGCGCCGTGCTGCGGAGGAGATGGCAGCGCTACAAGCAGGAAAAGCCGAACGGAGGAGCCGTCGCAAGCTCGAAAGGGAATCAGCCGCCACCGTGGCTTTTGACGAAGCTGAAGCTGAAGCTCGGCGTGCTGCTCGGCACGAACGACGTCGATCACGATACTATGACGCCTCGGAGGATGAGAGGGAGCGTAGACGGAGACGTGAGGCCAGGCGTGCCGAGGAGAAGACGAGCCGAAGGCGCTCGATGCCGGCTGATGACTATGTCTATCCCCAAGAGAGGATCTCGCGATACACAGTCGACGAGCCCAGGAAAAGCAAGGCATCATGGCCCCACTCGGGGACGAATTCTTGGGTGAAAGAACACTGGGACGCCGGCCCTCCTCCTGAAGACGGTCCGTCTACCGACGCACCTCCCGAAGATGACGAAGAGGCTCGCCGCGCGGCACGCCGAGCTCGTCGTTACGCCAAGTACGGCGATCTCGACGGCGAGATGGACGACGACCGGAGACGCCGACGGGCTCGTCGTGAGGAACGAGAGCGCCGGGAACGTCATGGTGGCTCTGACGGCAGCGGAGAGAGACCACAGTCGCAGCCGCAGTTGCAGCAGCCGCAACAGCAACCGCGTGAATCCGTGTTCATGGACACAACACCTCGAAGCAGCTGGTGGAGGAAACTTACCGGAGTGTGAGCGTGATGTCGATAGTGTTATGTGGTAGGAGCAGACACACAAGTCAAGGGGGCTTGTCGGATGGTAATATGATAATTTGAGTTAGCTGGTTTTCGCGCGTGCGACCATTGTTGGCGCTTATACTTATGCTTTTGGGTCGGGTTGCATATATTCTCATAGCGTTGGGGTGGGTTGCAATCGGTTCTGATCTATACTTATTTGTTGGACGCGGGTGAATCACGCGGGGTATGTATGATGCGGTTCGCCGTGGTATTGGATATGCCTTGTCTGTGAGTTAATGTATGCGTCTGACGTGGCAAGGCTGAGGGGGCGTTTGGTAGGGGATGAGCAGCTGGGACTGTCCGTCCGATTTGCGCCCAATGCCACCTTATGGAAGGGAAGATATAGGTGTGTGATGACGATACATGTTCTGATTCGAGCGATGCAGTCGTACAAGTATCGATATATACCCCCTTTCGCAGCCATGTACGGTTTACACACATACATACCTACATTAGATAGATGCTTCCTGTCGTTATTTGAGGAGCGAGAGCTATGGGGAAATCCTCTCAATCTTATATTACTTTTGCTCAGGGAATGGTATTTACATTTTTCGTCATGACAATGTTTGGTGTGACATGGAAGTATGATATTATAAAATACTTTTGCCTTTCTTCCCCTAATATCTGTTCATCTCTATCTATAGCTAGGCGAGATATAACTATTGTTCGAAGGCATGCTGCTTGCCTCGTATGGAATCTACTTAGATAGATTAAGTAGTCAAGCAGCCCGGTATGCAGGTGGCCGAAACTGTGACTTGGAAGTACCTAATGGATGGAGTTATGTATGTAACTGGGTAGTATATAGCTGCATGTGAATAAGGTTAGGTAGGTATAGCAAGGACTCTCTCTGTCTCTCTCACCTGACGACGCGTTTGATATGCACGTCATAGGCTTGGGTAATGTAAGGTTCTACACGGTAGGGACGCGTTTGCATTCATATCTCAGCTACAACTCCTTCACAGTGTGTGTGTATGTGTGTACCGCCGTACCGTTCTCTTACCCTTGGTAGGTTAGGCAGTCGCCACTCCTGTTTGTTTGCCTGTGCCTACGTCAAGTACGACAAACCTATATAATTAATAATACCGTCTCAAGAATCAACAACAAGACACGCAGCTGCCATGAGGTAGTAGTTAACCTACTCCCCTCCCATTTGAAAAAAAAAAAAAATTTGGTTAGGGAGATACCCGGGTGCAAATCCCGGTGGCAGCAGCAAATGAAATTACTTTGTTGAACGTCCTGAGTTCGAGACATTTTTTTCCTGCATGATTTTTTTCTTTTTTTTCTTCTTTCTTTTTTCTTCGATAGACCTGGTAGCTCCCGCTACTAACAGCTATGTGAGTGAGATTGTTAGCCTAATGCTCGGTGTTGGATCTACCTAATAAGACTTCTTTCTACACTTAACATCCTGTCTTTGATGACGAGACTTAGGACAGCTATATTATTTCCACGCGATGCGTTTCCGACGATCGTCTCTGTGAATTAGCTTCAAACGATGCATTCATGTCCGCTATTCATTCCACAGACACGTGGCCAGAATCCCTCGACGGGCTGCCGACATAGGTATTACTTCAGGTACAATAATGCCACGATATATAACCACTGAGGTCTTTCACCACAAACTCTAGTAACTCTAATGCTGGCTACTAAGCACTCACACACATACCGTCAATCATATGTACTAGGAGATATCTATCCTCCGAGATATCTATCTACCGAAGAAGGTTACGGGCGCATCCTCTCTAGTTAGGTCAAAGACAGAATGTGCAAAAGAGGAATTCCAACCAGACGTAGACAAGCATCCTATTGTTGGCTATCCTTGTTTATATACATGTGAATAGTCCAGGCATCACCTCTGGAACAATGGACAATATTTCCTTTTCGAAGACACGCGGACGAATGTCTCAGCTTTATAGAACTCGGAGACGATCTGATCTTGATCTCCCTATCGACTTGGTCGTATCAGTGACAAGTAACTCAGATATATATTTAGGCCTGCTGATTATCTCCTATATATATCAAGCTAGATGTCCTGGATAAAAGATACTAGGCACCAGGAATAATGTCTTGTAGCTGCGAGGTAATCCCCGGAGAGGTGGATCCCAGGTGCCGGAGGCGTTATACCTATGAAGCGCAATGTTGTGCATATAGCCGGAGGTCGCCCTGTATAAAATCGATATCCCCAGCTTACCTAATGTACCTAGATCAGACCAGAGTAATACAACGTTCTTTCAACTAGAGATCCCGGCACCACACATATAATGGCCATAACGAGTTGAATAACTCTGGTATATCTAGTAGATCATCCTATCCTAGTACCTATTCTACACACACATTTTATGAAAGACGCCCAAGAAACCAAAAACCTCTACATGAATTCCGAGTTGGCATATATTAGGAGGAAAGGGGGGGATGTTGCCCGTGTTCTCTCCCTCACCCCTTGAAGATACATCTCACAACATAGGTAGGCCAGGAGCACGAGACACCTAATCACCAAGTATATAGACAGAGATAGACAACACAGACGGACCTAAGCAATGAATTTCCAACACAGTCGTTAATTACACGACCCGTCCATCCATCCACCTCAAGGGGTTGGTGGTGACTGCGAGGGCAGGGCACTTTTTTGCTTCCTTACTTGCTTACTTGCATGTATGCATGCTTGCTTACTGGCTACTTAGCTAATCAACTAATCTACTTCCTAGGGTACATAACCGACCAGGTCGTCTGTCAGCCTAATTTATTTATTATCCAACGGATTGATTGCCCGGGCTGTGACGACCTATGCGCGACAGCAAAACCAAAAAGGAAAAAAGGGAGGGAAGAAAAGGTAAAAGAATCAACTTTCTTCCCTCCCCTCCTCTCCCCCCTAATACCTAACTAAGCCCGCTCTTTCTGTCTTCTTTCTGTCCCGATAACGCCTGGATTGCTGCTACAGAGTATCCCATCTGTATGATACGGCAGCGTATTATGCCTGTAAAGAAGAAAACCGCAATGCCCGTATAACCGAGTGAGAAGTCGATCTTGGATCCAACCCTGTAATAAATAATTCGGAAAACGCAAACAGAAAAAGCGAGGCGTGGAGGTATTTGGTGAAAGCTCGGTGCTACTACTTAGCAGGGGGTGGGAGGTGCGGCGCGCTTTTTCCTTTTAAAACCAAACTTGCTCGCGAGGACGCCGTTACCCGATCCCTACCGCTCCCTGGAGTAAAAGAAGGTAACACGTAGCCTTCCCGAAGTCGTAAGAGATGTCTTCGTAGCACATTATAAGGTAGGTATTTATATAACAGGATGACATTTGTCCTGGATGAATTAATGGAACGAAAGTATGAGGAGCGATAAGATCTCTAGCGTGGATCTGGAGAACTGTTGATAGGGTGATATAGTATACTGAATGCGAGGTAAAAGGGTAGAATGCGAGTAATGTGAGACCAGCCCCATTTATTCCGACTCGGATACGCTGTACGCCTCGCTTTCAGAATCCGTGTCAAGGGCGCCGTATTTAGCCTTGTACTTCTCGAGCTCGGCCAATTGGACTGTAAGGTTGTCGAGCACAACTGCCATTGGCGTTCGGAGATCTTCTAATTGGGTGATCTGGCCGCCACCAATGGCGATATGTCGCATTGCGAGTGTGGACACACAGGTCTATAATGAGTGTTAGCGGGGATCACAATGAGTTTATTCATAGTATGCGACGACTTACCTCGATTCGGCTTACTTGGTGCTCCATGAAGTTGAATAAGAACCGTTCGGTGACCTCACCGCCGCGTTGCTTCATACGTTCCAGGACCTCGGTCTCGGGAGGTTGCAAACCCCTACCAGACATCTCTTCCAGAGAACTACAGAGCATCTCGAGGCGTAAACTAACTTTCCAAAGAGACCAGACCGTCTCCGGATCGATCCCGAGTTCGCTTCCAGGTTCGAGTGTGGCAGGTTTTAGAACATCCTCAGTCGTTGTGATAGGGTTAGTGTGATGCTCGATGCGGCCAGCTAGAACATGTGGATAGAGCGAGTATATATACTCGGGGTTTTCCAAACCCTTCAATTTTCTCTCGCCCATTTCCTTCACCTCAAAACCTTGGGAGCTGAGAGATTTCAGTTCCTTTCTGATCGCTAGCGAGGTCTGATCATCATCAAAAGTATCCTCAGACTCCAAAGTCCCGATTCGCTCGCTATCTTGATATGTCTCAAGGCAACGCTGGATCTCCGAGATAAAATCCGCGGACACGGTAATTTGACCACCGTCGGCGACCGAAGAGATACGGGATGCCTTATTCACCATAGGACCAAAATAATCCATACGGCGTGTGACGGGATCAATCTCGGCCACCGGCTCACCATAATGAATGCCCATTCTGACGGAGAGGCCCCTGAAAATGAGGTTGTTATCCTTGTCGTACACCTCTTGGCAAGACATCGAGTTGAGTATTTCTGAAGGCCAGGGCACGTCAAGTAGTTGAGTCTGAACAGAGAAGCACCACAACAGTGCCGAAGTTGCGGTAGGGAAGGAGACCATAAAGGCATCGCCTTCTGTCTTGACTTCGTATCCGCCGATTCTCCGAAGTTGTCGTCGCATAACCTCGTTGTGGAGCTTGATGGCGGATCGCATAGCCGAAGGATACATTTCCCACAGATTGGTAGAATTCTTGATGTCGGTGAAAACGATAGAGGGCTTATCAGTAGGCGCAGGGACCTCGGCTTCGAGCCTATGCAACGTAGAGTCCTGGACCTCACCCTTGGCTTTTCTGCCTCGTTTGGCTGGATATTGAAATTCGTCTGGCACACCAGAGGGATACAGTGACATGCTCTGCCCCCTATGCAAACGAGCAGACCGCTCCTGGCGTCGTTTTAGATCCGCGACGCTGATCATCATGATCATGATCTTATTGGTTGAACCGTAGGCCATGGCAAGATCTCGTAGCTTCTGGGAGGCGCGCATCAGATCATTTCGTTCTGATCTGGTAACATCAACCACCAAGCCAGGTGTAAGATATTGCCACAGCTCTTTCGTCGCAATCAATATTGTTTCATCCTGAGGAGTAATAGAGATCTCGGTCACGTTGGGGGCTGCTTGAACAGCGGGCATCAAATCGGCATAACCGAAAGCGCGAGAGACTTCAAGCAGATCATTTAGTTTTCCCTGGCGAGAAACCCAGCCTCCGGCGTCTCGTATACGTTGACGCTCAGTTGGTTCGGCGGGGTCATGCTTCCGAGTAAGGATCTTATGCGAGCCGTCGGACTGGATAAGCATAGCTTGTGCGTCGCCAATATTGGCGACGTATAGCTCTTGTGCTTGAAGATAAACAACCGTGGCGACCGCTCCGGAGTTCAGGTCTTCCTTACTTAGGACCACGTGTGCCCCCGAACCACGATGCATCCCTAACGGTCGCTTCTCGCTATGCTCAATGGCTATAGTGACAAGGTCCTTGTTGAGGGCGAGAAAAGCACGTCTAAGCGCGTCAGTGGGCCCTTCGTTCTGGCGTGTTTTCAAGGCTTTCAGTTCCAACGTGAAAATGTGCCCGAAATTCTCATGAAGGTACTTGGCGATCTTAGAGCCACCACTAGAAAGCGCCTGACCGTCAAACAAGCCTAGGAGCGTTTCCGAGTCTGAAGAGTTGAATCTTGGAACGACTAGATCGATTGTTGACAAGTGTTCGTTCCTGCCCATTGTGTCAGCCATGCCATATGGTAGATGTCCCGCCAGCGACCCTGAAGTTCTGACACGGCGATCTTCGCTTTGATCTGGAATGCGAGGCTGAGTGAGGGTGACATCCATCAACCCAAGCACACGGAGGTTCATTAGACTACTGAAGTCGGTGTACTGCTGCTCGCGATTCTGCCCTGCTGCTCCAGGATTCGTTTGCTTGATCTCCAGTCGTTTGTTGCCGGACAAATTCAGAAACCGCAGATTGGGATTTAAGTTCCAATTCCAATCGTACGGCACGTTGGCAATATTGTACTTGAGAGAGTTGTTTCCGCAATCCAAAACAGCCAGTTTCTTGGCCCGCGAAATGTCTGCCGGAAGGTTCGTGAACTTGTTATTGTTGATGTAAAGCACCTGAAGTAAGCTATACTCCTCCAGGTCATCAACTGGCAAGCTAGTCAGATCGTTGCCCGACAAATAAAGCTCTACGAGCTGAGGCCAGCTCTTGATACAGCGCTGCGGCATGTCGCTGAGGTCGTTGTACGATAGGTTGAGGATACGCAATTCAG